GGTGTTTAAGCTGCTGCCGTCTGGCAGGAGGTTCAGGCTGCTGAGGTCCCGGACAAACAGACTCAAGGACAGCTTTTACAAGCCTTATTCTTCATTTTTTATTACTAAGTTAAGTTACTGTGTTGTGTTGTTTGTGTTGCATTGTGATGTGTCGTATCGTGTCAATGTATGTAGTGCCGACGTACGACAGTTTTCCAATTTCATTGTACTATTGTACTATGTATGACTGTGCAATGACAATAAAGAGTTATCTTATCCTATCTCAAACTAAAAACTAGTTTTCCCATTAAAAAAAAATACTTCAGACCTCCAATTTAGTTTTACGGTTAGCTCAGCAATATTTTTACAGTTTCAGCAAGAGAATTTGAAACGTGTTTTATTCTTGTGTAGAGCACAGAGAAAACATGGACAGTGAACATTCACTTTAGATTCAAATGAATAAAAACTACAAATCCTGCTTTCATAGCTATTAATGAACAGTATAGGTAAAGAACACATTAAATATCTTACGGGATATGATCTAAATATTATAATTGTGTGGACATCTTTGTTCAACTACTATCAAACTAGAACATTTAATAAACACTATAGTTAGAGCAACTAGTCGTTTCAAAGTTAAGTTCAAAGTTAAAGGTGTAGTGAAAAGGCGAACGCACTGAATGGTGAACAAATAAACGTCCCATCTGATGTTGTTTTGTAAGGTGCACGTAAACTATGCTGGGACACAATGACGATAATTCAGTGTGACTACTTCTGAGATGTCTACTGAGGAGAATTGAAACTGGATGTTGGTGCTAAAGACTATCATTTCTCCTTGCCAGTATTCTTGTCTTGCTTGTTGGGTGGCTGTGCAGAAGCAGAGGTGAAGGCTGCTTTTTCCAGAGCTGTCGACTGGGCGTCCTCCAGAGCCTCCTTCTCTTCTTGTTCCTTTTTGATGCTTGCTCGATGACGGCTATTAAATGCTTCGCACGTATTGTGAAAGTTCTTACAGCGCTGCTCAAAGGCTGCCTGGAGACAAGAGAAATGGCAGCGAGAAAGTAGTTAAAGAACTTGAGGGAAAGGCAGCTGACTCCTTTTCACTTTGATAGCCACAGTGGCTCATTTCTTTCTGTTTCATTATATTCTTCTCCCTCTCTGTCACTTACCTGCATGTTTTGATACATCTCCAGCTGACGTTTCATTAGCTCCTTCCTGTTGAACGCCTCCTGTTTTCTGCACTCCAACACATGCTCTCGGACCAACCGGTAAGTCTGGATCTTTTCAGTGCGCTCCCTCTGCTGGGCCTCTTCTATGTGCGAGTCCATCACCACTGGAGAATCCTTTTGGTGTCTACATGTATGCACAAGAACTAAATGTATACGGTGTGCACAGCATTTTTCTGTCACATGAACGTATGTATACCCATCTAATGAGAATGAATAGAAATCTGAAGATATGTTCAAGTACTTTGTACTATAGCACAGTGTCATTACATGCACTGTAGCTACTGTGTCAGGATCAGGTGTTAAACAAATTTTTGGAGAGGGAAACTGAGGATATAGACATGCCTGTGTGTACACAAGTGTGAATCTTGATGTGCCTGACACGCTTTACTAAACTTAACACATCTCTTTCTCTGCTCATATTGCAGGCCAGTGTCGACAGCCACCATTAGCTGGACACACGTGTTAGCACGCACATGCGCACGCTCACAGCAGGAGAGGATGGAGAGGTGATGGGAGAGGGGCACATCTCATTGGAGTAACGAGCTCATAGTGTCCCTGAAATAGCTCTCTAATTAAAAGACCCAAATATCATCTCATTTATCCTGGAGAGGGATGGACAGAGGGAGAGATGGAGGGAGGGAACAAGAGATGGTGTCAGGGAGAGTAATGGGAAACCCAGGGGGGACTGTGGAGGGAGATTCTTCCCTTTAAAACTCTTACTCTGACAATACAGTCACACACAGGATATAGACCAATTTGGAAAGCCATTGGCTAGTCTGTTGGCTTAGCCTTTGGTGCTCAACGTGGAATTTGGGGGGATTATGGTGAAACTGTTTCCTAACTATACTCGATCAGTTTACACTGTACAGTATGTATCTATATGCAACCAAGCTTAAGTGAAATGGGATTGGTCAATTGCTAAGCGACTTATACGAAAACCAAAAAGCCCTTTCCCTATTGATGCTCAAAATTAAGTGCAAATAGTTGTTTACGATGGGTACACATAGATGGGCAGCAAACTCATAGTTGCTTGTAATCCTAGATGTGTATTGATATCAAAGATATTTAAAAATTAATCTCTTGGTAATCGTCATGAATTGCAGGTCAAAGGACCCAAATGTATACTCTGGAGGCAGAGGG